ATTTATCTAATTTAATATGGCTAAAAGAACAAGGCTGAATCCCATTCTTTCCCAAGCCATCATCAGTAACAGTTCAGTAAATTTAATTTACGGGACCAATAACTACAATAATTCACAATTTAGACTGTCAGWTTTAAGCAATAATTATAGAGAAGAAATTAATACCTCAAACATTCAGTATGAGAAGAATCACATTTACCATTTTATTACCCATGAAGATTATAGCTCAATTTAGTTTTCCAGCATACATTAGTCTTACTTTTAAGCAAAAAATATAATCAAACCTGAAAGGCCTAATCTTGTTATATTTGGAGCCACACAGAATTATAAAATTCCCATTATATTTTTCTCTCATCTGCTATTGATTCACTGACACAGTGTAAATCACCTTCAGCAATGATTAATGTAAAAACTGTTCATTACTATCATAAATGAGAAAAAACCGAAGAACCTTCATTGGATTGCATTTTAACTAAGTAAAAAAACATTAAACAATGTGATTTTCATTTCTCTCTAACCTTTTTTCCAGAATCTGTCAGCTTCCCAAGAACACCACATGCCAGGAATATTTCAGCCATCCTACTGTGACACATCTCCACTGATAAGTTCATTCAATGTTAAGGATTCTTCTCCTAAACTTCTAAGATTGAGCAAAAAAAATGTAAACAATATCCTTTTAAAATGGGGAGAAAAAATCTCAGAACAGTGATTAAAACCTGTTCATTTTATARCTAAACATCAATTGGGTATTAATATCTAGATACTTTTTTTCCACAGGTATTTTTTTACCAGCATTTAGTTCTATTTAAGGGCTATTCTCTGCCAACAATTAAAAATTATAGTGCAAAAAATATTTATTCAATGTCAGTTGGTACAGACAGGAACCTCTGATACACTTGATTAATGAAACAATAACAAATAAGATATTAACTAATACAGAGTTTCCTTTTGCTCTTTTACATGGTAAAAAAAAAAGAGATTTTTCTATGCATTTACACTCTGAAGTAATTTAAGTCTTGTGCCAGTTAAATCTTAATTATTCTTAACTGACATTGATAATAAAAACTACAATGCTCAAATGGAATTAGCATTAATTTCCTAATTAAAACCCATTTCCAATTCAAGCCATCTATATTTAGAACCCTGCCTTTCTCTAGAGACAGGAAGAACACTCACTGCTGTTATGTACTTGTACCTAAAAAACAGCCTCAGATTTTACATTTTCAAGTGTCAGCCTGATTTGAGACCTTAGATATTTGGAGTAAATTCTGAATTTGGCAATCTACAAAGACTCTTATCTTCCCTTCCTAATGGAAAACTAAGCAATATGCCATCAAAATCAAAAAAATTATCCCAGGAAAGCAACTTCCAGCCTGTCAATGAAGGTTGCTATGGCAACAACCACCATGACTACGCAGGCTCCAACCTTATTTAACGGGTAAAGTGGAAAAAAACAGCACAAGATACTATAATGAAAAACCCTGTGCTGTGAGTATTCCTGGGGAAAAAAATTAAATAAAACAAAGGACTACACCCCTCTACTCCATTTTTTATTATCAGTTCATACCTGGGCTGGCAAAAATATACCTCCAGTTTACCATAAAACCTTATTTTAYAGAAATGGTGCAGCTCTGCTTCACTTGTGACTTAACAGGTAAAACTTGTGACTTGTCAGGCAAAAAATGAGCTTTTTATATCTAAAGATAAGGGGTGTGATCTGTGCAGAGCAGCAGCAGCAAAGGGAACAGGACGATAAAATACAGTGAGGAAAAAGATGGATTTTACCATAACAGTCTAAAAATAGATTCCCTGCAAACAGAGCACAGATGGTTGTGGATCCTCAGAACTAACAGCTCCATCTAGAGTTAAAAACCAAGGGAGATGAAAGCAAGCTGKCAGGTAAACAATTCTCAAGACTTCTTAAAAAACACCCTAAAACATTCTCCAAGATCTCCAAATTTAAAAATTGGCTTTAAAATACTTTATGTTAAAGTCACCTGATCGCTGAGAATCTAATATGGCTTAATAAATGGTTACTAAAGCCCATCTAAAGACAAAATAGAAAGGAAAATATCTAAAATATTTTTATATTTCCATAAATATAAATCCATCCCTTGGACTTCTTGCAGCTCAGTGACATTCCCACTGTAATCTGAAGTTTGGGGAGCTTTGCACATTTTGCCAATTTTCAGTGGGAACAAGATTTTAACACCACAGAATAWCAAAGAATCAGCCTCTCAGCACTTCCAAAGAAATTCATACCCATGTTTAACACTAAATAAATGGTCCAATCAGGGATACAGCTTCCTGGAYATGCAGCATTTCCCAGGCCCCAGTTGTTCAAACTCATTTAAAATTTAACGCTGATTTCTGCAGAGCCAGTACGTCCCTGCTCAGTTGTTTGCTCCCAAGCAAACAATTTTGCATGGCAYCTTTCAAAGTAGCTCATCATGATCACATTTTATGTCAGCTTGTTCTCTAGTTTCTCCCAAGTTATATCTTACCTTGCAGCCTGCATAAAAAAAAATATATATATATATAAAGCCATTTCTTCCTGACTTTGAGCCTGCACTAGATGGATTGTGGTTGTGCTTCACATCATTAGTGATACCAAAATAAAATAAAAAGGGATAGAAAATGGGGAGCTACTGGAAAACTGTTGGGTTAGAGGGCTGCTGCATTCCTGCTCCAGAACAAAGGCAGGCTTTGTTAATCACTCCATGCTTCTGGCAACAMTGGAGAGCCACACGGGCTTTTTCMCACATTTATTRCTATTTCCCTATCTTTATTCTCCTCTGAAACCCCTATTCCTCTCTCTGTCCCTCTTATTTTGCTTTGTCTATTTACCCGTAGGACCCCTGTACTCTACTCTTTTTAGTCCATGCTTTTGATACTATTTAGCATCATGGAAAGTTAAATACTGTTTAGGACTAATCAAAACTTTTTTTACTACCTTCCCCTTAAAAACATGAACATYAAAAACCCAGAACCAGCAAAACAACTGACCAATTTGATAACCATTAACATGTGATTTTCAAGAGTGCTGCACCTCTGAAAAACCAAGCTATTCTGTGCTTCATGTTTAATTTAAAAGCTGGTGCAAGTGTGAAAGCATTGGTCCAAATCACACTGCATGAACTGCTCTGGAAAGATTCCTRCAGGGCAACAAACATGACCAGGAACCTTCCTTGAAATATCTGAATATTGACTCATGCACTTCTTTCTCTGCAAAGTGCTCCATTTCTTTGAACATGCAGGATYGCCAAATTTTTGACAAGTGTCATCACAGTGTCTTTAAGTACTGAAAATCTAAAACACAAATCAGAACCTGCACAGGCAGTTGGTGATGGAWTTTTTTCCTGATGATTTATTACATTTAGAATACAAATTATGTTTAGGGTTATTGGTTTATAGCAATTTCCTATAGCAGAACCAAGTCTCAWTTTGTTTTGTTTTTTTAAAACACAGCATTTTCAATAACATTTAAATCTGAGAATACAATGATGAACTCAGAGAAATCATGACAGAGCATTAGATAAAAATGCTGAAAAAAACTTCCAGAGCCTCAGCCCCATTTTGACCTGTAATTAACAGATACCAGCAGAGATGAATAAGGGTCTTTCAAAGGAGCAGTTCACACCCAAGAGTTCCCTTTCCATGTGCAAGTTCACCAACTTTACGCCAAAAATAAATTCACTGCCTTTTCCACACATTGAAATGCACAGAGGGGGCAAGGAAAGCTTTTTGCTTCAGAATTTCACTCTAGGACCCCATATTTAAGAACCCATACTTCAAAAACCACACCTTGACTACAGCATTGCCACATTATTCCCACGTCAGAGGAACACATTGATTTCCAACATGAAATAAAGAARCAGCAAATGAAAACAACTTTTTATTTGCTCTGGATGTGTGTTTTTAAACAAAAAAGTAGGACAATAAATAGAAAACAAAACCTGGTTTCTCACATGGTCAGTTTCTTGTTCCAAGTTAAATGAAAATGTGGCACCACCATAGAAATTTACAAAACACTAAGAGATCAGGATATTAACAAAATTCTCTGAGAAAGTAAGTATAAACTTGATATTAAAAAAAAAAAAACCCTGATATTTCTCTGGCTTTGTAAATGTTTTGCAGCCCAAGGTAAGTAACCTCAAGTTAAGCACAAAAATCAAGGAAAATGATTGGCAACCAACCTCTTGACTAGAACGTGCAACACCTTCCTGTGCACAAAGCCAACTTCTCTTTATCCAAGTTCAGTTTTGAAGCAATTCCTGTACAGGAAAGTGTTGGCAGAATGCGCACTGCTAATTTCCCATGTGGRAAAGTAAAGTTTTGCCCTCATTCCTTGTTGACAGAACAAACCCCTGAAAGATTTTTTAAAGCTCCCAATAATCWTGGTGTATACACTTGCAAAATAAGATAGTTGGAAGCAACTCAGTGTTTTTTCCAGGCATCATTTCCTCAGCGACAGCTTTAAGCTCCCAGAAATTGGCAATTTCTTAAAGAAAATTATTACCCATTCTTTTAAAGACACCMAAAAACTTCAAAACTCATTTCCAAATGGCAGAGACTACAGACCTTGGCCAAAATGTATATTTATGTATTATGTTTTATTTAAAATCAGGATAATAAAATTCTTATCTAAATCCAGTTTCCTTTAAATTGTTTTAAGAGCAGACTGAGAAAGCATATTAAAAAAGTTCAACTTTTTTTAACAAGAGAAGTTTTGATGAATTAAAAAATAGATCTTCAGTCACATGAATAACGGCTTTTTCTGCATTTCACAAGAAATGAGGATTTTAAGGACATACATTAACAAACTGTGTGACACTAGAAATGTAAACACTCAGTATTTYTCAAGCTTAAAGACTTCCTTACGTCCAAAGCCGAATGAAAACACTGTCACATTATTGACAAGTGGATCTACTTGTCACTTTGTATTAAAATCACCTTTTTAAACGACTAAGAAGAAAAAACAAACCCACAAAAATACTTACATTGCATTCACTTTCTCTTCTGGGCCCTGAACTTGGCCTGTCACGGTTCCTTTGCTGGTATTTTTAACCCAGCCAACCACTCCTAATTTCTTGGCTTCCTGTTCTGTGTACTGATTTGGGGAATAATGAGAGAGGACAAATCAGTGCCAGCACAGACACCACATACAGAACATTTAACCCCCTACCTGCATTCACATAGCTGTAAGAGTTGCATTTAAAAAATAAAAATCCATTGGAGATGCTCATCCTCAGGCATTCAGATGTTCCTGTCAGCTCTGGAGTTGCAGCAGGCACAGCCCATTTTCCAAAAAGAACAAGATTTTGATCACAAAGGACTCCACTAATCCCACACAATTCCTTTGTACCTTGTTTATACTTTTCCAATAGTCCTGACACTGCTCATTTAACTCTTCAACCACCACAGTCATTAAGCTAATTAAATCTGCTACATGTAAAAACTTCCCAGTTCCTTTCCTCTAGTTCCTTTTCAAATCCTTTCCACCTGACTTTCACCCTTTAAATCCTACCCCCAGCTGCTGCATTTCTACTGACAAATAGCAGCAGAGGCCAATCTAATTACTCATGGGGAAAAGAAAAAAAAAGCATATTTTTGCAAAACCAACAAATGATGGTTTCCTGGACACTCATTTATGATGAAATTCACAAACAGCAAGAGCCAAACTTCAGACCTGAATAACCCCATTCCAAAAGGCAAAACATATTTGGTGGTGATTTAGCCCACAAAAAAGTGTTGCTAACTATGAAGAGTGTTTCCCAAGSTGATTACAAGCAGCTTCCCCAAACTAATTTGCCCAAAACCACAGGGAATGCAACTGCAACCCTTTTCCTCAGCACTGGGAATGAGTTGTGTGTTCACATGACTCCAGGTCAGTTCAAAATGAAGCACAGCAAACTTKGACTTACCCTTTCTTCTTGACAGAATAACTAAATTCAAGGCAAACTCTACTGCAATCCTCTATACACTTGCACTTGGCACTATTTCACAATACAYATAAACTAAACATAAAACCTTTTAGGTTTAATATCAAGCATGGGCCACTATTTTGAGACAAAAAACTGTTCTTACTTATAATTATGTCCTTTGTTTCATAGGTTTCTGTGAAATGCAAACTCCCCTGCTGCACATTCAGAGCTGCTGGAGTTGCTTAGGGTATGAGCCACAGAATGCTTACTTGCAGCACATTTTTCCACAGAGTGCTTCCTTAAATACACGTGCTAAGTTGCCATGTGAAAAATTAAACTGAAASACCTTGTTTCAGATTTAACCTTTCTAAAGATTAAGGTGTTGGAACATTCTTGTGGCTGTTACATCTCAAGTAATCCAAACCACAATCTACACAAGCAGCACAYTAGCAAGCTTTTAAAAATCCATTTTAATATAAAGCCTTTAAAATCTACTCACAGYACTTAGCCATCCAACCAAGCACTCAAAGTTCAGGCTGGATAGGTTTACACTCCACAGACAYACTGCCTTATTTTTAGAACTGGAAATATTATACCATAAAGTGGAACTGGTAAATCCAGCACTGCCTTACCATCCTGAAACAAACACCTAAAAAAAARRAAARRAAAAAAAAATTAAAGTCSTRTGAAAGCATATCACCTGTAGAAATTTCAGTTAATATAAAAGGGMAATAATGTGCATACAAGTCACGCGTGATGTTTACTATGGAAACTTCAGTGAAATTAACATTAGGGAAACTGAACAGAATTTATGTTTGACCCTTCCCGTCGGCACACGATTGTCTTTCACGTATTTAAGTATTAATGAAAACGCTGCAGTGAGCGCACGGGAAGGACGGGAGGGGGCGTTCCCACACAGCCGCGCTGACAGAAACCACGAGGGCAAACGCGGGCGACGGAACCTGCTTCAGACAGAGCAGCCTGTGCTCCAGGAGGAGCCAAGCCTCAAGGCGGGGGAATACTGACAACGATTTAAAAAAACAACGAAACCAAAAAACTTTGCCGTGCCGCTGGGGACGCGGCCGCTCCCACCCCGCGCAGGCGCGGCACCACCGCCGCCGCCGCCTCAGCGCGGCGCCCCTCGCCCAGCAGCCCCCCTCAGCCCGCCATTACCTTGCACCCGCCCGAACACTTCATAGTCCACGGATTTGAGCGCGCCSGAGGCTTTGGCCAGGGTGGACATGGCAGCGGCGGAGGAAGAGCCGCTGTGGCGRTCGCTGCTGCACCGCGGGCCAGCGGCGCCCGGACGGGAGCGCGAGAGGCTCAAGCTTGCGGCGTAAGCGGCCGCCTCACGTGGGGACGGGGCGGGCCACGGCACCCTGAACAGAGCTCCGGGAATGGGAGAACACCCGACAGCGGCGGGGGAAAACATCGCTCCTCCTGTGAGGGGAAACACACCTGACAGCGAGGGGAGACATCGCTCTTCCTGTGAGGGGAAACACACCTGACAGCGAGGGGAGACATCGCTCCTCCTGTGAGGGGAAACACACCTGACAGCGAGGGGAGACATCGCTCCTCCTGTGAGGGGAAACACACCTGACAGCGAGGGGAGACATCGCTTCTCCTGTGAGGGGAGAACAGCCGGCCCCGAGGGCGGGAACCCGCTGCTGCCGTGAGGGGAGACCGCTCGACCCCGAGGGCGGGAAAACGCTCCCGCTGTGGGGGACGCTGCTCCGCATCTCTGAGGGGCGGGCGGTCCTGCAGAACCCTCACGAGGTATTATTCCCACCTCTGGTTRAATTRGAAACATGTTGAGAGAACAGTATCCGAACGGGAGCGTCTCCTCCTCCAGGGGTGGTTCTGCCACATACACAAACACACACCCCTGGACTTCCCACCTCCAGCAGCCAGGGTACAGGTGAGCAGCATTAGCCTTCTCCAGGCATTTACCGAAACCATTGAAAACAAACGGTGCTCCATAAATTGCTGAACTAAGGTTATTTTGCCTGAGAAAGTAGAAAATCAGTTGAAAACTAAAACATCTTAAAAAAAAAATAAAAACCACCCAAATTTGGCTTGGGCATCCCTCCCTGAATAAGGCTGAGTGACCAATTTGCATCTCCACATGACTTAAACCTTCACCAAAATTTTAACAGCCTATTTCTCTCACCTGTGCTGTCGCAAATGCCAAACTCCTCAGCTGGAGCAGCAGACCCTAGAGACAAAGCTCAGCTCATGCAAACTATCCACCCAATTTTCTATTGGTATCTATTAGTGTTGAWGTTCCCATTAGCAAGCCTTTCCAAAACTATCATCACATTAATTTCTTTTGTCTGTATGCTACATATAAAAAAAAAAAATCCAAAATTGATTATTTGGTAGGTTGAGTCTCCAAAAACACACCACAAGAGTTTTTCTCTTGCATGTTCTGTCTGCTTGCAGTTTAACTCTCCCATCACCATATTTGGTTTAAAAAAAAAAACACAAAACAAACAACTTTACAGGAAGACTTCTACAGTAGAAACAGCATTTATCCAGCCTTAGAAGATGAAGGCTGCCATCTCTCACCAATAGATAAAGATAATATCAACTTTACAATAAAAATTATTTTGATTTTATTTGCTCTCTCCATTAAGCAATTTCCTCACACAAACAATTTTGTGTCCTACAGTAATGCAGCATAGCCTGAGTTGTTCACAAGTTTTGATCKAAAGACTAGAAGGAAATTCAAAATAAATCCTAGAAAAATAATGAAATTACTTTTCCAAGACATACCAGTTAGCTAGAGAAACAACCACTTACTTCAGCACAGAACACAAATATTCACATAGAAACAGAAACCTTTCATGGTCACAGGTAACAAGAACACAACAGACAAAATTTTATAATTTGTTCTACTACAKAACAAATTAAATCAAATCCTTGTCTTTCACAGGGCTCATACATTTTGCTAATATGGAATTAGCGCCATTTTGTTTTGAAAGAGRAGGATTCCACAAAGGGGAGCAGAATACAGAAAATCTTTTATAATTTGCTGCCATCTGGCAGCAGTGAAGAGCAAGGCCAGTAAAATAATAGATTTACAATAGCAGTTTATTGCACTAGAGCCCCACCCAAGCCTTAAAACCAGGGCTTAACTTTGTGCTGATAACATTTTGCTCCCTGCAGATTCCAGCACTAGCAATAACAATCACTACAATCTTTGACATTTCCATTATTTGCAATAACATCTTGCCAGTCTTTCCGTAGACAAGTCCAACTCTCTCATTATTTCATGAGAATTATCAGAGAACTCCAGGAAATAACACTGAAACTTTTAATATTTTCTAATCTAATCAGTATTAGAAAGCAAAGGTTATTTAAACACACTGATTAGCTAGAAAGCTTAAACATCCACTACCAGGAAATGCAGGCAGCCTGCACAGAGATCTGAATTTCCCTCACACTTTCAGTTGTTTATTTCAGGGTGTTGGCATTGGCATAAGGAAAAGAGAACCAGTTGGCTGCCCTTCCCAAAACTACAGCCAGTTGTAAAAATAACAATAACACATTTCACCACCAGGCCCTCTACCCCTCCCCTGGGCATTAGGCCTATAAAAACTCCCACTCTTCAAGCACAGTAAAATTTTCTGACAACAGTTTTTTAGCCACAGCATAAAGAAAGGGYGTGGTAAAARTTATTATCACTAGRAAACATRAAACTCAGCAATAGTTTGCAATCRAACRCCAGAGGACAGCACAAACAKGSCTTTGCAAGGAGAAACCGTGGCACMTCCATGACAACAATCCCACAGTACCTGGGCAGGCAGAGGCACGACTGGTAGCAGAGTCCCTCCAAGAGCAGAAGGCTGGGCTGGAACAGCAGCTACAACACAAAGGGAGAGCTAAAACCCCCACCAAAGCCACCCCTGCCTAGGATTCATAGGCAAGAGCTCTGCTCAGCCCTCAGCTTAAGTAGAGTTCCCACACCAAAGAGCAGAGTGGGTGGAGGTCTCAGGTGAAGCTGGTTGGGAGGGTCAGGCCTGTTGGTGCCCTTGAATCTGGCCACTAACAATAAAAAGCTGTTTGATTAAAGAATCTCTTTCACTAAGCTTTTGGGTTGGTTGTTTGAAAGATGTAGCTTTCTCATTTATGCTGTTTGCTCATCTCTGGCACAGAATAGTTGGAAAACCATTAAAACCTTTCTTTCTTTCATTACCCACTAMTCTTGCTTTCTCTGTCTGTGGCTGTCACCTCTCATGACCATCCACTAGATGTTTCCCACTCCCAAAATGATTGCCTTTGGCATTCTCATGGATACCCYATAAGGCACATAGCCTCCCACCTTGCTGTCTTAATTCATCCTTCACCTTCTAACTACACTGCTATTTTTCTGCCCCATTTTTAGGYAACCTGGTTCCTCCTCAAACTGCAATGATGGCATTTCTCTCCCCCGCTACCTTTTAGCATAAGAGTTTCTTGATGTGTCTTTAGCTGTTTATCTAAACCAAACTCTAGACCTTATTCGCTTGCAAATAGTCCCCAGATGATTTKGATGAGTGTTTCCCAAAGGACACCAAAGCCTTCAGATAAAGGAAGCTACTACTTCTGTTGCCAGGTTTCTGCTGTTACCTAGGGAGCATGGAATATCAGGGAAGAAGACTGGGAGCCATATAAGCTTAGTTTGATCTTTCCAGCATTTTTTTCCCTTATTTTCTGTAAACTGTTATGCGCATAAGTTTTTATTTTTCTATCCTTTAAGATAATATACTGGTGTTCCTTTATATTTTCTTCTTCAAGCAAAATTATAAACTTCTTACCTTTTTCACTAGCCTTTCTTTTTTCCTCATTCCTATATAATGTTTTCTTCTCCTCAACTGCATTTACTCTTCATTTCTGAATGAAAATTAATAGGATTGCTACCTCTACCTCAAAGCTGTACAAGTTTCTTCTGGGTCTTTCTTGCAGTCCTTATTTGCATAATATCTAAATATACTGAAAGCTTTTGTAGAGCTCAATTTCCCACTTTTTCTTCTTTACTGGTGATCAGTAACTCTCTTCTTTTTAGTACTAGAGATGATATTTGTAAGCCTGAAGGGCAAGACACACACAAAGGGGGATTCTTAAAGAGCTTTATTGTGGTGGTTTAGTGATTAATGACTTTATAGACGAATCCACAGTGTGCCCATAGCACAGGGARGTGACCTGGTTACAACACTTGTCTTGTGATCCATTTATGCTCCAGGATCCAAATCCAGGGACTTGTTCCATGTGGGAGGCCCCCCCGACCTGTGCAGCAGCCCCTTGTGCAAGGRGAGTGTTGTGCAGGGTCCGAGTCACACCCACACAGATCAGATTGCAGAAGTGCAGCCAAACTGTGTGGATGGCACCTAAATGTGTCCTTCGTGCTCCCAAATCCTGGGCTGCTTACGTAAGGTAACAGAAATGACAGATACAAAACTGTGAGCCTGTTGTTTTCCTCTGGCTAGACTATATTGTGTAGATTTTRTGTTATTTTTTTGTTTTATTTTTATGTTATATCCTGGTTCTGTGAGGCATGAAGACCTATCTACTGTTATTTTTTAAGTTAGGCAATAAACCTCTAAACCTCCACCAATAAAATCACATAAAAACAAAATTGATTTTTTTTTTCAGTCTAAATTAAGCTTTTAGAAGTTTTTTCAGTGATATACAAAAAAAAAAAAAAAAAAAAAAAAAAAAAAAAAAGTATCTTCAGGTAAATAATTCTAACTACGTACAAGTAAAATTTTAACCTGAAATCATAACAAGGAACTAAACCACTGGGTAAATATAAATACTTGCTATGAGGAAATCAGCCTTCGAAACTTGCATTGTCACCCCGAAGTTCTTTTAAACCACAAAGTGTTGGAAATTAAAACATGAACATATGAACTGCTTTGTCCTATGGCAAAAAAAAAAAAATCTATCTCAAACAAAAATGTGATTGATAAAGTTAAACTATTCAGTCCCAAAGCACAGGAACCAGGTGGAATTTGGGACTAAGTCTGTCAGTCCTCTGCTGACATGAAGGGTCAAGTCAGTCTTGGCTTGATGACTAAACCCAAACACAAACTCACCTACTATAATGCCTACATTTAAATTGTTTTGGTAGGAAAGCAGATTGATACAACATTTGGTTTATGAAACATCCATTCACAGGAAACTCATTAACATTTGAGGAAAACATTGATATTCTGCTGTTTTCTCTCCTTGCACATGCTGAGGAGGAGGAGATGTGGTCATTTAAGGCAGTAAAGTTTTTTTTTTTTTTCCTGTTGCAACATAGGAAATTTCAGTATCCCCTTCCTACAGCCACCAGAACAATGCTGTCAGATTTAGGGATC